GCAATGAAGGGCTGGGAGAGGCTGGAAGTGCAGGATTTGATTGGAAATGGAAGAATTAAGAATTAGGAATAGAAATGCCCGTGCTGGAAATCTTTGCACAGCCAGCAGGAGCTCTGCCCTGACTGCCAGCTTTGGAGAGGAGCTCCTGATTGTGCTGCCACCTTCCCTTCCTCTTGGTTGGCACTGAAGGGTTGGGAAATGCTGAAAGTGCACGGTTTGATTGGAAATAGAAGAATTAAGAATTAAGAATAGAAATGTCCATGTTGGAAATGTTTGCACAGCGAGCAGGAGCTCTGCCCTGACTGGCAGCTTTGGAGATTGTGCTGCCACTCTCCTTTCCTCTGCTGTGGGTGAGATGCAGGCTGGCACTGAAGGGCTGGGAGAAGCTGGAAGTGCACGGTTTGATTGGAAATAAAATAATTAAGAATTAAGAATAAAAATGCCCATGCTGGAAATGTTTGCACAGCGAGCAGGAGCTTTGCCCGCCCAGCAGGGACTGAAAACTTTGGAGAGGAGCTCCTGATTGTGCCACCCTCCTTTCCTCTTGCTGTGGGTGAGATGCAGGCTGGCAGTGAAGGGTTGGGAGAGGCTGGAAGTGCACGGTTTGATTGGAAATAGAAGAATTAAGAATTAGGAATAGAAATGCCCGTGCTGGAAATGTTTGCACGCCCAGCAGGGACTGAAAACTTTGGAGAGGAGCTCCTGATTGTGCCACCCTTCCTTTTCTCTGCTGTGGGTGAGATGCAGGCTGGCAATGAAGGGCTGGGAGAGGCTGGAAGCGCAGGATTTGATTGGAAATAGAAGAATTAAGAATTATTAAGAATTAAGAATTAAGAATGAAAAATGAATTAAGAATTAAGAATTAAGAATTAAGAATTAAGAATTAAGAATTAAGAATTAAGAATAGAAATGTCCATGCTGGAAATCTTTGCACAGCGAGCAGGAGCTCTGCCAGAGAGGAGCTCCTGATTGTGCTGCCACCCTCCTTTCCTCTTGGTTGGCACTGAAGGGCTGGGAGAGGTTGGAAGTGCACAGTTTGATTGGAAATAGAAGAATTTAGAATTAAGAATTAGGAATAGAAATGTCCATGCTGGAAATCTTTGCACAGTGAGCAGGAGCTCTGCCCTGACTGCCAGCTTTGGAGAGGAGCTCCTGATGGTGCTGCCACCTTCCTTTCCTCTTGGCTGGCACTGAAGGGTTGGGAGATGCTGGAAGTGCACGGTTTGATTGGAAATGGAAGAATTAAGAATTAAGAATTAAGAATAGAAATGCCCATGCTGGAAATGTTTGCACAGTGAGCAGGAGCTCTGCCCTGACTGAAAACTTTGGAGAGGAGCTCCTGATTGTGCCACCCTCCTTTCCTCTGCTGTGGGTGAGATGCAGGTTGGCAATGAAGGGTTGGGAGAAGCTGGAAGTGCATTGGTTTGATTGGAAATGGAAGAATTAAGAATTAAGAATTAAGAATTAAGAATAGAAATGCCCGTGCTGGAAATGTTTGCGCAGCCAGCAGGGACTGGCAGCTTTGGAGAGGAGCTCCGTGGCTCTGAGATCATTCACCAAATCCTTCTTTTTCTCCTCTTTGTCCCACCCCGTGCAGAACCGGGGCCGCCTGGCAGAGAAGAGGACGATCCCCCTGCCCCCCTCCCGCATCCCCAAGAAGGAGCTGAGCTCGGTGTTCTCGCACAGCGACGACAGCGAGGAGAGCGACAGGAGCAATGGGCAGCACCCCGAGGTGAAGCAGGAGGAGGATCTGCACATCAGTATCATGAAAAGGAGGTGCGGAGCTGGGCTGGGCT